AACATTGTTGTAGACAATGAAAATTAGATGTAGACATTGGTTCCCAAACTCCCCTCTACTGTGGAAGCACATACATTTGTTTGTTTTGTTTAAGAATCGGTACCTGTTTCTTTATTGGATGAGAGTACTAGCTTGTATATTAGAATTTGGAAAGCAAACAAACCAGGTGATTCTGAGATAGAGACAAGCTTGAGGGAGCCTGCTTAGGCCCACCATACATTTTAACATTCTTTTAAAAACATAATAATTTCATTCTTTGACAAATTTTATTTAGTATATTTTGATCAAATTCTTAACCTTTCATAATCAAATTCATAATCAAATTCTCCCAGCTTTCCACACCTCCCCCCAACTTTTTGTCCTCACTGACCTTGTCTTCTCCTCCCCTCCTTGTCCCACTGAGCCCAGCTTGTGCTGCTCATTTATGTGTGGGTACAGAGCCGTCTACTACAGTGTGGCTGACCTACCAGGGGTCACACGCTTGAGAAAACTGACTCTCCCTTTGCCAGAGGCTTTTTAGGTGTGGGAACTCACGAGCCCTCCCTGCACCGTGCTATACCATTCACTGGCTTGATCTCGGGCAAGTCTCGTGCAGGGAACCACAGCTGTCGTGAGCACACGAGCGTAGTCATTGTGTTGTATCTGAAGACACTGCTCTGCCTCAGTCTCCCCCAACCACTGACTCCATTTTCTGCGAGCCTGTGTGCATAGGGGTCTTGTGGGATGTGTGGCGTGGTGGTGATGGGAGGGAGGGAGATAATCGTATTTGTGTCTGAGCATCCCGCAGACATTTATTCTCTGTGCTTTGATCAGTTGTGGGTTTCTGCACTAACCACGGTCCATGGCTAAAAGGAAACTTTTCTGATGAGGTCTGAGGTCTGCACTAATGTATGGTTTAAGAGACTGTGTGACTTTAGAGGGCAGTTTGACATTGTATCCACTTAGCAGAGTAACAGTAGTAGGCTCTATGAACAGCAGTAGGCTCTATGAACTTTCCAACCATGGATTCTCCGTCAGGTTTACAGTACCCAGCGTGTATCTCCCCCAGTGGAGTGAGCTTTAAATCCAATCCAAAAATGGTTGGTTACCTCCATAACTTTTGTGCCACCCTTGCAACTAGGGATATACCTTGCCAGACCAGCCATTATTTTAGTGCACAGGGTTCAAGCTGGATATGATTGCTGATGATGCCCTTCCCACCCCAGGCACCTTTTCTAGTACTGGGAAAGCTAGCCAGCAGGGAGGATGATTTCTGAGTGGAACCAACTTGATTTTTCCATGTCCTTTGACGAAAGTGTAGATAGTGTGTCTTCAGCAACAGGGTCTTAACATGGAGTTCTAGTAGGCAACCAAGAGCAATGATAGTAACCTTTATTGCTTGTGTGTGTGCGTGTATGTCTCAATTGGGGGGGGGTCATCTGGGACACTGTTGACCAATTGTTGCGGGACAGGAATCCCACATCTGACACTGGGCCTTTTATTTGACAGCCTTTAGCTTCTGGTAGGATCGTTATCCCCCAGGGAGGATATCTCTGGTTAAACTGTTGAGGAAGGTTATAAAACAGTGGGTTTCCACTCAGCTTTCTAAACATCTTCAGTTTATTGGTTAATCCCTCTCCCTGCCCCCATCTTTTCCTCTCTTACCATCTTTCTCCTCACCTAAATCTTTCTGCACAGTTTTATATTCTGAATCTCCATCTGTCAATGTTGAGTTTCCCAGCCCCCCCCCCCGGAAGTACTATATATTTGCTTTAAAAAGTGCAGATAGGTGAACAAAAAGAATTATATTGGTCTGTAATCTCTTGATAGTATTCGGCTGTGTGTCTGGGTTTTGTTTTTGTTTTTTAGCTTATGCACATTAACACATTTGCAGTCTTAACTGCGGTGTTCCAGTCCATAGGATTTTATATTTAATGCTTTAGTAGGCTGTTTGTTGTTTTTTTCCTCACTGTGAAGCCCAGCCTGGCAGGAAACTTATTGTCTTGTCCTAGAAGGCCTCAAACTCAAAACATTTTTTTTTTTTTTTTCTGCTTCAGACCTCCCAATTTCTGGCATTAAAGAGTCTCTCTACTCAGCCAGACTCAAGAGAGATTCTTGAGTCTTAGTGAGTAAATAGCGTGGTTGGATTGATTGTTCTGCCAGTAACTCTCACTCTTAACCCTGTGTACGGATGGGGAGTTTGTCTACTTTCCCGGGTACTGTTTAGGAAACCACTTCAGATGCCACTGCTTGGTAGCACAGCAGCTTTCCAGACAAGTAAATCTGGTTTCCTTTCCTCCCTTGCAGACTCTTCTGACAAGCCTGTAGCATGTCCCTGGCTTTGGCTTCCTGTACATACTTAGTAAATGACAGATGAACATGTGTGTCTCAGGGGTTGCTGTAGTTGGAGGAACAATAGTTCAGATACGTATGCAGACAGTCATGATGCATATGGGGGTAACAGGAGGAGGCGGTTGCAGATACGGGGTAGAGAATACTTTAGGATGGGTAAGCTTCAGATCCTTTGAGGAAAGGTAGCACAGCCTCTGGTTCCAGGAACTTCCTGGGCTTGCCCCAACAGATATAGGAAGAAAGCCCCACCTCTCCTAATGTGTGAAAGGAGTTCCGTCTGCTCACCAGGCTTGGGCTGCCTATGATTATAACAAAGTCTGAGTCAGATAAACTTTCAGCCAAGAAGCAAATACTTTTCTGAATTTTCCTTTTCTCAAACATCTTCCTTATAAAATTGGTGAGCAACGGGGCTGTAGTGATGGAGTTCAGTTGGAGATTAGCCAGAGCCTGTGGGTCATCCCCAAGGCTGTGGCCTTCTTTCCATACAGGCAGTGGGGAGGAGACTAAGTGACTAAGTACATGAAAGCTGGCTAAGGGGTGAGTAGAGAGGGAAAGGGCCAGGCGTAGAAGCTGCAGGTTTGCTGGCCGAGCCAAGCTTGACTTAGTCCAGATGGCGTGGGCTCTTGAGTGCCGCAGCCACAAAGCTAGCCATCTTTGTTTCACGTCACTAAAGAAGGACTGCTTTCTTTTCACACTGACTTCTTAAAATGTGGCTTTGTGATTAATCACAGGCCTGCACATCACAATTACTGTCTTTATGCATTTGGAAAAGTAAAAATTTTGGCCTGAAGTATGCAGTGCTCTTTGCTTGTTCGTTATTTTAATTCAAAAGTGGAAATTGCAAATACATACTCTTACCTTCATTGGCATGTAAGGTATGCCCATGACTGAGTTATACAGTCTTGCTGGAATCCTACAGAATTGAAGCATCTGTCTTGTTCCAAAATCTCTGAGAAGCCATCGCCTGCCTTCTGTTCTCCTGCCTTTTAAATTCATGACGGTTCTAAAAGTCGCTTTAGTTTTGACTGCCAGTCACCATGTTTTGCCCAGAATTCCACAAAGAAAAAAAATCAAAGCACGAAATGACACCTAAACGGAACCCTTATATTTACACCCCATCGTATAGCTAAAGTCACATAAATGCCAGAAGCAATACTTCAGATAACATCAGCGAGCCGGTGAAACACGGAGGTTTCTGGACGCCGTGCCAGCCTCCAGAGCCGGGAGTATTTTATGATTTAATGGTACATCTCTGCCACGTTTGATGAACTGCCCTAGAAAAACATTTTGAAGCAATAAAGCGTCCATTTGGCTCACAAGTAATGAGAGAGGCATTGCTCTTTGCATTAACTATTTATTCAGGAAGAGAAGTGACCAACTGCTAATAAGCTTTATCCAAAGAAAGTCGCTTAAAACGAGAAAACGCGAAAGTGAGGCTATCTTCGATTTCATGTGCAATTAACAGAGACGCAAAGCAGAGCAGTTGGTGGCCCCGTGCCACGTGACTGTGGGTTGGCTCTATTTAAGTGCACATGCTGGTCCGGAGTAGCGAGAGCGTCTGGGCTCTGGACGGCCGGTGTGGTCTAATAACAAGTAAGGAAGCAGTGACTGGTGAGTAGCTCAGGTTGGGCTCGTTTCTCTTGCTTGTGGACGCCGTTGCTTAGATCAGTGCTTGTTCAGCCCACTAGTTTCCACCCTAGAGAAGGCTCCCCTTTGAGTTTTCTTACAGATTATTTCTCTGTAACTCATTATCTGCTGCATAGACAGTAAAATATTTAGGTTTATTAGTTGGTCAGTTGATTGGATCTGGGGAAATTGTATGCTTGTTGTATAAACACATGTCTGATATGTTATTTGAAAATAATTTGTTGGGAGAAATGCAGCATTTTGCTCTTATACCACAAGTGCATACACAGTCCCTTCCTTTCAGGGAGCACTAAGGTCTCAATAATGTCAAGGCAGTATCCGTAATACCATGTTCATAAGCAGAGTGTCAGCTAGAATCTTATTTTGAAACACCTTTGGTGCTAAAACAGTTGGGTTTTTCTATTCCACTTGCTTTACAATCCTTAATACAATTAATATGCCTTTTTTTTTTTTTACAGTGTCAAGAAATATAATGCAGTCGTAATTTTTTTCCAAGCTAACAAAAAGATTCTTATGCTGAGTCTTCCACTGTGCTGGGGAAAGACAATAGACTTTTCTGCACAGTGAGAGGAAGTCTTCCTATGATTGTTATTCACATAGGTAGTAAAAATGCCATAGTAAGTCATTAGGAAATTTAATGCTACGTTTTCTTCATTTCCATATTGAAAGCCGTGTGTCATTTCAAATTACTTTGAAGTGTATTTAAAGCCAGGTTTCAAGATACATTCCATATGGTAAGAATGCTTGACTATTTGTAGGAGATGACTTTAGAAAGAGTTAAAAATCCTTATTAGTAGTCACAGAGCCAGAGTTCAGCCAAGACTCCTGAGAACTGTCCTTTCCTGGAGTATCCATTATATCACTCAGAACAAAACTCATCCATGTCTCAGAGACTTCTCTTCTCTTCATCCAGGAAATAAAAACTCAGAAGAGGTGGCACTGCCTTGTTAGGTGCTGGGTTTTGTAGCCCCCCCCCTCCCCATTGGTTATTAATAATCATTAGATGGAATTGTCCCTTTCAGATAATCACTCCATTCAGAAGGCTGATGCTATGTGCTGAAAATAGGAAAGAGATGGAGGACTGGATCAGCTCTCTGAAGTCAGTACAAAGCAGAGAACCCTATGAGGTAAAGAACCGTCTACTTGTTTTGCGTCCTTAGAGAACAGGCGTGCATAAGAGCAGCCAAAGACCCAAAGCTAGCCTGCACAGAAATAAGTATTGGCAGGCTCATTAGAGCCTGTTTAAAGTAGGTTTGGGTTTTACTTGAAGTGCTTTGGTGTTCAGAGTAACGGGTTGAAAAGTTTGGGCCTCACTGTGGCGTGCACATGGCAAATAGCCATACGTCAGTAACCTTGCTGTCCTGGTTAGCAACACTGTCCAAACATTTTTTTTTCTAGGTGGCCCAGTTTAATGTGGAACATTTCTCAGGGATGCATAACTGGTACGCCTGCTCCCACGCCCGGCCCACCTTCTGTAACGTGTGCAGAGAGAGCCTCTCTGGAGTTACCTCCCATGGCCTGTCCTGCGAAGGTACGCTAGCATTCTGCGTCTGGGCGCTGCCCACAGCCAACATACCATAGACACCTCCTCATGGGCACTGTGCCATCGTGAAGAGAGCAGACACACTGCAAAAACAAACAAACAAAAATGCTTTCCTTGGCGGAGACGAAGCCTGGGGGATATGTTTAAATCAAGATTTAAGTTTTGTTCTAGTGCTGTGTCGGGCTCTAGGCACATGGGACTGATTTGGGGAAATGCTGTTGCTCGACGTCAAAATTTGGTGTTCTCTTGAAGGAACCAACTGCTAGTCTCGAAAACCCCCTCGAACTTAGCAGCATTCTAGTGTTCTTTGTTCTAATTGACTGTGGACACCAGTATATAGTCTTTGGCAGAATTCCTAATGGTTATCTATATTGAATTATTTGAAATCTTTTCCTTTACTTATGGCTTTATTTGAATGGATATCATAATGTAATTTCCTCTGCACAACATTGGGGGTTGAACCCGGAGCTTTGGCACAGTAGGGCAAGCAAGCATCATCTCATCCTCATGTCTTTGCTTAAAACTTCTTCACCACTCTCTAAAAATAAGGCCCACGCTAGTGTTTTCTTTCTGCCCTTCGCTTCTTTTCATGCTGGACTTTTCATTGTAAGATGTGCGAGTTATCACTTAACTTAGGAACTGTGAGTATCAAAGGCTCATCTGCCAGTAGCTACCAAGGGGAAGCTCATGACCACTTCAGTGGTGAAGAATGGAGACTGCTGGGTACTGTTTCTTTTGAAACCTTGTGTAGAACCAAATTACCAGCTGCTTCTCAAATGCAGTCACATCATCAGTAATTACGAGTGTGCACAATTAGCGTTTAAGTTAAAGTAGCGATGGAATCCCACTCCTAAAGTAGCGGGGTGGGGGGTTAGGTCTGCGATTGCCCTCCTGTCAGCCGGAGGCTGAGGACTGAGCTCCACACTGCACCCTCCTCCTCTTGCCAGTTCCGACTGTGACTGTCCCAGGGTGCACATAAACAGAGGTCAGATGAGCATAGACTCGCTGTAAAAAAGTAATGCAGTGCCGTGCATATAATTTCCTAAGTTAACTGGGACTGTTAAGTATAATCCCAGGGAGTAACTATCCTTCACTGTCATCTAAACAGTATCGGAATGAAACAAGTTTAAGTAGTAATTAAAAAAAATCAACGATGTCAAATATATATATATATGGATATTAAACATTAATTTAAAAAACAACAATGTCAAATATATAAATATGGATATTTAACTACTTTTTAATGTTTAGGAAGATTCAGCATGGTAGAGGCTAAATATTGGAATTTTAAAAACCCCATAATTTTTGTGAAGTTGTTGTGGTTTCGGAGGGCATTATAGGCGAGGGAATATGCTGATTTTCGCCCCTCTCTGGGGAAACTCAGTTGCCACCTAACAGAGTACAGGTGCAGAAGGGTCACTTGTATTTCTTGGTGGCCATAGCAACAGCCTGGCTTGTCATCACACTTGTTTTACAGGTTAGTGAGTCTCATGTCCATCCGGCCAGGGTCTCTATCACTACAAAGTTTGACGTGTGTCTTAAACTACCTGTTTCCTCTTTAATTTTGAGGCTTTGAAATAACGAAGGAATTATGTAGCTTTACCATCTTTTCTGTCCCTGCATGAAACTCACTATATTTCAGGCTGGCTTTGAACTCACAGATGTCCAGCAGCCCTGTGTGCAGGGATTAAAAGGCATAGGACCAGCTCCACATTACCATGTCGGCCACCTCCATGACTGTTTCCCAAGCTGCCTGGTTGTTTTCTTTATGTGCTTGCACTTTAAAACACTTGTGGGTTATCTTGACCATACGACAGTTTAAAACTACTCGTGCAAATACACAGCAGTGCAAATGCCAGAAATATGTAATGGATTTTTCTCAAATTAAACACATCCAAATAGGGGAATCTACACCTAGATCGAAAAGTGGGATTTTTACAAGCGCTCTCATTATTGCATTATTTTTTTTAAGTGTATGCATGTCTGTGCTCTTCTGAAGGACTAATTCTTCGGCGTTTATTTAATTTCTCTTCTTAGTTGCAATCTATTGTATTACATTATTTACCGCTTCATAAATAAAAAAAATAATTTTAAAAATAGAAAACGTGCCGCCTTCCTCTCCCCCCAAAATCTCATGTTGTAACTTACTTTACTTGCAAATCCTTGACTCTTATGATGGTTTTTTTGTTTGTTTTGTTTTGTTTTGTTTTTTAGTGTGTAAGTTCAAGGCTCACAAAAGATGTGCAGTGAGGGCAACAAATAACTGCAAATGGACCACGCTGGCCTCCATCGGGAAGGACATCATAGAGGACGAGGATGGGGTAAGCTGCCGCGGCTCTCCCCCTTCCCCAGGAACCCCTGTTGTGTCCTGCTTTTGCGGAGGATAGTGGCAGAGGGTTAGGTGGGAGTATGGGTTGTTTGGGTTCCATTGCAAGTGTTAGTTGATTTTGAGTTCTGATTTTTAACTAACTGTTTCATAGCTTCCCTTATTTCTCTGCTTTAGGGGAGTCTGTTCTAAGTAAGGCCTAGGAGGGCTTCTTGGCTCAGCTGATGTTAGAGATGTTTATCCGACAGACTCAGCAGTCTTCCTCAAGGCTTAGCTGAAATGCTCATTCTGCAAATTCTGGGGCTTCCTCTCAGGAGGACCCCCTTTAAGCCTGGCCTCCACCGTATCTGGCATGTGAAACCTTTAGAGATCACTGCCCTGTAAGTCTTTGTAGACCTTTCTTCTCAGCTAGATTTCGGCTGGATCTCAAAAGGCGAGCCTTTGTTCTTTCTTTGCATACCTGCAGGATTCAGGCAGGAGAGATGGTCCATGCATGTGGATAAAATGAGCCAAGGACTCTGAGGGTCCGCATGATTGAGTCTGTAGAGAAAGAAGTTCTTCCCCATCTTCTACAGGGTGAGGGTGGTGTCTTCCTCAGGCTTTGCTCTGACCAACCTTTCTTCCTGTCTGTAGGTTGCCATGCCTCATCAGTGGCTCGAAGGCAACCTGCCTGTCAGTGCCAAGTGTGCAGTTTGTGACAAAACATGTGGTAGCGTTCTCCGCCTGCAAGATTGGAAATGCCTCTGGTGTAAAACCATGGTAAGGGTTTAGAATTAGTCTGTATGTTTAAATTAGCATCTTCCCCTAACTGGGTCATCTGTGTGGTCCAGAGGCAAGGCAAAGGACACACACACCCCTTTGTGACATAATGGCACTCATTCATGCTTTCGAAGTGTATTCCCTTTTACTTTGGCAGTGGTGTGTGTGTGTGTGTGTGTGTGTGTG